TCTAGGTAAATATCATTTACTTACACTAATATATTTTACATGAATAATTTATTAACCCACTTTCATGCACCAGCTGCGACGATGCTGGAAAAAACGGCAACAATGAGGCGTAAGAAACACTTTTACTTATTGACAGTTATGTAATTATACCCATTACCACGGAAAAACATTTTCGTGGTGGTCTTTACATCCACCTTTTCAAACTTTGGGATATTGTGATAAACTAAATGTCTTTCTTTCGACACGTCCGGTCAGTTTTTTCCGAAATACCTACTTTTATATTTTATTTTATTATTTATCCAGCCTTTGAGAATTTGGCAATGATTCGTAGGAGGTCGAAAAGCATTTTCATTTTGTATAACTGGCGAAGAGCACGGTGCATCCCATCCCGGCAATGTAAATCCCGGCGGCGGCGTACAGGTACACTCCGGCATCGTTTTCCCGGTGACCATTACTATCCCGGCGACTATTGCTTTCCCGCCATCGGTTATCCCGGCAATGCACACTTTCCTAACGCCGCGCATCTGTCCAACCTCATTTCTCTTTTGTTTTTTTTGGGGCATAAATAATGATAGGTATGCTTTAGAAGCGGATGTCAAATTTGGTACCGAAAGTGGCTGTTTGTGCCTGGACGCATTGTGATTAATGTTAGGAGACCGAAATATGCAAGGAAGCTCAAATAAGTTGTGTTGTTTAACCTTTCAGCGGTCGCGCGCGGACTCACAGACACAGTCCGCAAGCAAATTTGAGGTGGAATTGTACGCGACCTACCCTCTTTGTAGCCATGGGGCCTTGTCTACCTTTCGGAAATGATGTGCTTAGCATGTTCGCAAACCCTGAACTCATTAGGTTCAATTATTTGTTAGTTATTAATAATCGCGGACTAGTGACCAATGGCGTTATTGTTCGATTACGGCTAAACAGGTAAAAATGCGGTCGTACAAAAACGAGCAGTTCAATGTGTGATTGAAAAACGAACAGACCTACACGACATTACTCTTAAAAAATTAAATTAAATCTCTTTGAAACTGCAAATTGGGAGAATATTGTTTAAATTGTAGTAATACATACTTTAATCAACCAAATCTTTACTATTTGCTAATAGAAGTAATTACCAACAAACCCTTCAACAAAAGAAAAGAAAATTTTTTGAATAAACGTACTAAAATGTGTCTTTTCCTAATGCGGACTGACAGTCTTGACTGCGTTGTGTAGGTAGATATATCATTTGCTTTCGAAATATAGTCATGTTTTAAATTAAATCATAACACCTTATTAAATTCTCTACCTATACAAAAATACTTCAAACAACTAAGATTTTTCCCTTAAATCGTGGAAAACACGTATTTCGCGCTTACTTTGCGTTACAATAATTTCAAAATTGACTGTATTTTTATCAAGTTTGTAACAGCAAGAAGTTCGTCTTAAAATAAATTCGAAGATTGTGTTTTCCACGATTTAAGAAACTCGTAAGTATGTCAATACTGGAGGATAAATTTAGGAGCAATGATCAAATGTGAACAATAGTTATTTATTATACAAGGGAAAAAAAGTATTCGATTTTAGCTCGAGGTTGTGTTGTCTCCCGACGCGAAGACCGAGAGCTAAAATCGAACATTTTTCTCGTGTATAAATGTATAATACGACGAGGAAAACGATATATTGAAGTCGTATCGATTTCCTATAGAAATTTGAAGTTTTAAACTGCAGATAGGCTGTTGTACTTCTCGCGACAATTGACAATACGAACTGTGTTGCTAAGGAAACCTTTACTCAAATATCTGTCAATTCGGTTTTGTCATTTGATTTAAACATCTCGAATTTAATAATTGTTTTATATTGAATGTTAAAGATTTGAAGAGTTGAAAGTTAAAAATTTATGATTTATTTATATTAATCGCTCATTCAACAAGTAACATTGCAGGACAGTCGACAAAATTAGTTGCTAAAAGATAATTCACTCACCTTATACACGGCCTTCTATAAAACCCTGTGAACATCGCTTTAGAAAACTGCACCAGAGATAAATGGGAATTATCAAAATAGCGACCCGATTTTCAAATGCGTATTAAAAAATAATGTCACGTTACCCAAGCGTAACTAAAATAATTCCGGTCTTAAGTGGGTACTTATTTAATTATCGTCCTGCAGTTCTCCATTGACAACAGGATAGGTGCATTGATAAATATCGCATACGTAATATGTGTAAAACGCGTAGACATTTCCGCATAAAACATAAATCATAGCCGACCAGTTTAAATCAAAGCGTTACTTTGAACTCTATTAATATTAATGAGGCAAAGTGCACTATAATTTCTCAATTCATTGCAATTTCACATCTGATACGCTTTTTGCATTTAAATTAACAGGTAAAAAATAAGGGAATACGCTTTAAAACGTAACCACGTTAGTACGTGTCCGGTAATGGTGATAATCACCCCCTATCTATGCACATATTTAATTATATGTAATTAAAAATCATATATTAACGCGCGGTATATTGCTTGTTTATATATCGCTATTTTTATTTTTAATGACGTAGACATTTGCATACAGGAAAGGTGAATATATCTTAAACCATAAACCTTTGGATTGTGATAGCCTGATAGGTATTTGGCGCACGGGAGTCATCGATATGATTTTTTGGATTGTATTTTTTTCTTCAAATTATTGAATTTTTTTGTTTACAAATGTCAGCGTTGAAAAATAAATATTTCTAGGTGCGGAAATATATTGTATAAACCAACCGAGTGAAACATGTTTTTACGAATGTAGATCTTTAATTTGAATCATTTACATATTTTGAATTTCATTTGTTTGAAAAACATTTTATTCATTAGTAGAAATCCAAACTGGATTTGTTTGTCCGAGTTGAATTTTTATGATGAACTTTTGTTCAGGAAAGTCGAAATTGTAAGTAAACTAGGCAATACTACGTACATTAGCCCATTGAGCATTATTACTGGATTTGATTAATCCCTTCTTGGAATTAACACAACATTCTCAATTTCCTCCCCAAGCCTAGTCGCATTATTTTTGGAAAGTATAAAACAAGGTAGAAACGTGGTCCACCGTGAAATCAACTAAATTCGGAAGGTCCTCAAGCATTCCAATTATTGTGCAAACATTTCGATTTCTTCTTCTTCGACCAAGAATTGCAGTTGAATTTATCAATTTTCTTCTGCTAAGATTATGAGTTTGTTCTAATTTGCCTTATTTATTGAATACATATTTATTAGTATTTTTCATAACAATTTTTTATCATTTATTTATGTCACACATCAGACGGCTGTTGATGCGACCCGAAAACGTCTGTACCTAATTAGTGCCACCCATACGATACGATTATTTATTGTTGAGATTTCGAAAAATATAAGTAAAGTAAGAAATGAAATTTTGCGTCGATGCGATCACATAGCGATCGCTATAGAAATAAAAGCATCCACGCAAAATAGAATTTCTTACTGCATACTTGCATACCTTATAATAAAGACTTCAAATGGAAAGCTTCATAAACAAAATCCATAAATGGTCCTTTTGATGTGTTGCTCTAAAATATTTATATGTCGGGCATTCTTCATTTTAACATTGTGATCGTGTGGTTTTCCTAGTTTTTTACAGTTTGCACATGTGTAATTTTCTGCTGTACAATTAGTTGTCCTTTTAATACACACTCCCCACATGTATCATTTCCTTTTTGCAAAATTTTGAAGGGTGTCGAAATCTCCGAAATGTTGAGATGAAATACAATTTTTAAATTTTTAATTCAACCCCGTTACTGAAATTTCTGTCTAACATTCTCATTACAAAATTTTACGTTCTTTCATTGCTTTCTAAAAATATTTCCAAACTATAATACCTAATAACTTTTAAACCGTACATCGTATGATTATAATATTTTTACTGTATTATTTGGACAACATATGGGCTTATTAATGAGAAAGTGAATTTTTTTGCATTTATGGACGTCATTAAACATTTTTACAAAATCCGAAACGAAACACCCAAACCGGAATCCTCGAATGTCTTCTAGTTGCTGGGCTAAAATAAAAGACTTTAGGGGTGTAGTTTTAATACAAAGCATTTTGCGGCTTTGTTGTGTTTGAAAAACTGTTGCTGTCCTCTATCGCCCTTTAAGCGTATAACATACCTACTATAGATTTGCACCCTGTGCATGAAGTCGTTACGAATTTAATTGATTATTGATAATTATTAAGTTGAGTTGCAATTTTTATTCATACTAGAATGTATAGAAAAAATCATACTCGTTTTAAAGTCATAAAGCACATTTCATAGGTTGTCTGCAAGAAAGGTGCTCAAAATTTAAAATCAGAGGGGAAGAATAAAATCGTCAGTATTAACGATCAATTTATTGCAACTGTAAAATCAAGTGGTTTTATTTCCTAAGAAAATAGGTGTTGAACCTTTATTTTAAAGCGATTATTAATGTTTTGTTTCAAGTTTCCTCGCCTCTATCGTGCGAGGGGGAGTATATACCTACTCTTTATGGATTAGAGAAACGCCCAACAAACTTCTTTGCTTCTAATGAAATTGTTTAGACGTATAGACTAAAGGCAAAGGCGCCGCGCCGCTAAAACCAACAGCAACGTTAAAAGCTACAGGTATCAACCGATCGTGTGGGGTGAACATGTTTACTTAACCATTAGTTGCTGTAATCTCTTAGTTTCTCATGGGGGTGAGACAATTACTTGTCGCCCGTTAATTTCATCCAACCACTGCGTCAAACTTTGATACACTACGCGCGAATCGCAAGAAGGGGGTGGTGTCGCCGTTAATTTTAAATATCGTATTTACATATCTCAGGCGAAGCGTACAATAAAACGAAAGAATGTGAGAATAGGTTGTCCCGCCAGTTTTAAAGCAAAATTACAACTACGTATAAAATACATAAAATTAATTAAAGTCACTTTTAATGTGGGAAACGATCCTTTTTTTTGTAAATATCTGCGTAATTGCTAATTTATTTTTATTTGTTTCAGGTAAATTTTCATTCCGCTAATTGTGTGCAGCGTCATCGTAAAAGAAATAATGTGGTAAGTTTATGAAATCAAAAGTGGAGCTTGTACTTAGGGACGATTTATGATTTTCCTTCTGCTTTTCATCCTCGTATCCCGCCCGCTTCGGGATTTGAACTTGACCTTAACTGGAGTTTTATCGCGGTGAAGTTTTTTAAAGGTCCTTTATTGATTTCATATACGCCGCGAGGAACTTTTCCTTTCTTTGTCATGACGAGCGATGCACACGTAATATCGACGACGACGTGGTATTGACATCAAGGTAACTGCAAATAGATTTAATGATTAGAAATGCGGAAATGCGCCTCGATGCAATAATGGTTATTTGTTGTTTTTATTTTTATGCACTGTGTTGGAAAATTAATGGGCATATTTTCTGAAACGAGCTTCAATGTCATTTACGTTAATAAAACATGGTTACTTGTCCATAATAGGAATTACGAGTTAAGAGCGTCACGACTATTACAGCAGCAAAATGGCACCTTCATAATTTGATTTAATCAATTCAATTCTTGCGTTGATTGTATTGTCTTGTCAACTTTAAAATACTAATCTATCACTAGGAAACTTAATCGGGAACCTCATTCAATAAGTGAATCAAATTATCTAGATCGTCTTAGGCTCTATGTAACTTTTTGTGTAATTGAAAAATTGAGGTTAAGATTTTGTTAATATGACTTTTCATAAAAAAATTTCACATGTTTCAAGATCGCCCTACGTTTATAAATACGGGGACATACTGATGGACGATGTTAATTACAGTGTATATAATTACTTTAATTGTTCATGAAGAACTTGACACTTTTGTTTTTTTGTTATTCCCGTGACATATTGACCCTGGAAAAGCTGGCGTGAAAGATTTTAGTTAAAAGTATGAATTGACACGCTTCTCAGAAAACGTCCAAATGTAAAGAGCTTCAAGAAAGTTCAAACGGAGTTCAACCAAGGGGTAAACCACTAAAAAAAAGTGTAGTACACAAGAATTCCAAACAAATTCCATTAGACTTCCAAAACTGCAAAGTAATTCTATTGAATTCCAAAAAATTCAATTGACTTCCACAGAATTTCATTGAATTCCAATGAGAACTTTTAAGTTGATTTGAATGTTGTTTATAGAGTTGCTAAAAAAATCGAAATTTGTTCATCTACCTACAGTTTATGATGATTTACTTTTAATGACGTTTCATGATTGTGAAGGTCAGTGGCGCAATAATTTTGTTAATTTTGATTCAAGCTTTTAGAACGTGCGGTTTTAGGATGTGAATGTTGTCATCATGGCATAAAACGATGAGTGCTGAATAATTTCTATATGGTGACTGATAGTAAATCAGCAGCTATGGCTCAGGTTCAAAGATTAAACCTACAACCTAGAAAGTTTTACAAGTGGCATTTGGCGAGCACCGACAGAAGTGACAACTTCTTTCTCTCTCACACTTCTTCGCTTCTTTCTGCCGCGATGTATTATACAAATAGGTCGATAAATAATCGAAATATTTTCTCTCCTAATTAATTTAGAGCAAAGTTGTAAATAGGTTTTTGTAGCTTGAATTCTGCGTCTCCTCAAGTCCTCATTTATTATTTTTCAATTCGAAAACCGAAAAAAATACATAAATATACTCTTGATGATTTTCTTTGGCTTTGCTTGCAATGGTAAAACGTTTCCGGAATTATTTTCATGAGGTGTTGAAATATTTATGGGATCATAAGATCATTTGACTTACCACGCAGACATAGCTGTGCTGCTTGACCTCGCTACGTAAAAACCGCTCAAGATTTCTTTGGCTTCCTTTACAATAATAACAAGTGCACAAAATTACACTTTAAACGTGTACATTAGTCCATTTCTAAAACACCTCCAACGATTTTAAGACGTTGTTTTCATTCAAATACGCTTTAAAAAGATTGAAATTCTGCATAGCGTCTTTTGATAGATGAGATGGATTTAGTCCCGTGCATAATATACAGTCATACCGAGCGATAAGAAAATAATGTAATGAAATGTAAAAGAATTCCATGAATTCCAAGATATTTATATGAATTTCATAAGATTTCCATGAATTCCAAGAGGTTACACAACAGAATTCCACAGTGGTTTGCCGTTCTGGTGTAACAGAATTTCGAGGTGTTACATCGGAGTATCATATAGGCGCTTTAGGAGTAAATGAAATCGACAACCGTAAAAGAGTATTTTGATAGAATTACAGGAGAAGGTCTGAGTAGTTTCAAGTGGGTTATACTAGAATTTTCGAGGTTTGGGAATTTCAAGAAAGGTTCAAGAAGGTTTTTCAAGAGGTTTGTTTTTCAATGGAGCACAATCGGGATGCATCTACCAAAATGTTAGAGAGGAACAAGTAGAGTAGCTGAGACAATTCTTTCAGTTTCCAGAGAGGTTAATGAAAATTTTAATAAAAACTCAAGAAGGTTGCCTAAAGAGCTTCAATAGAGTTAACGGACCTTGGAAGTTTGGAACTTGTATCTGGATCCTTGCAGCTCTAAACCCACAATTTTAATCTAAGAGGTACTCATTTTTTATTTTAATGACAAATTAAGCATTACTTTTTCGATATGAATCATTATCGCTTTAAAGAAAACAAAATGGCGAAAGAGAGCATTGCAAAAATTTTACCAAATCGGAAATGAAATACTTAAAAACCAAAGTAATTCCGTTCCATCTTTCTATGCTTTACAATTGCATTGCTAAGAAAAATATTAAAGAACCGACCCAAATTTTTGGACTTTTGAATCTCCAATTTCGGATTCTTGGAGCATAAACTAGGGCTACCAGATTGTTTTTTGATCTTCAATAAATAAATCATTACTTCTATGAGATTCTATTCCTTTTGAATTTCCGGAAACATGCTAGGAAGCTAAAAATACTTTGAGATAATTTTCATATCGCCAGCTTCAGAGCGTAGAGAATGGTTCAAATTCGTGGATCATAATTTAGAACTCCGCAACGGTGCCACTTTTGTCACTAAAAAAACGTTTTGAAATTTTTGACACATCTTTGAAAATAACTGAGATATCACAGAAAAACTGAAACTGACAAATTTTGTTTTCATCTTCTCTTGCTTAAACGGTCGGAAATGGACAGTTTCTGTTTTCACCTTCTATGGGCACTTTTGTTCGGAGAATCTGAATCTGTTATCGGAATTTCCATAGCATGCTGGGTGTAGAAGCTACAGGGTACTACTTTCTTACTTCTTAAGGGCGCTACATTGGATTTTTAGCGCATTTCCACAAAAATAAAATAAAAATGCGCTATTGTGGCCACTTTGTCCGTCCGTCCGCTCGTTTTGCGACGCTACTAGTTCTTTATCTTAAGAGCTATTGTTCTACTTTTTTCGCTATTTGGTTCGTTATGGTGTCGAGTCTTGTACCAAGGAAGGAATTTTTTCTGTACCGCTTACAAAAAAAGTTATTGTAAAAAAAACAAAAAACCGTTTTTTTTACATGTTCTATAATTTTACACTTTTGCCGTTTATTAACGATCCTAGAGATCGTTTATAATTTTGCATTGCTATCTGTCGTCTGCATGCTGGTCTGTCCGTCCGTTCCTTTGTCTCTGTCCATCTATTTGTCCGTGTGAACGATAACTTTGTTTAGAAATGTTCGATCGCTTTTAAATCTCCGTTAGTTATGAACTGAATTGCATGAAATTCAATATGGGCATAGCTTTAGCCATATAATACGCAATGCCAAAAGTTGGATCGAATCGATTCAAAATTCACAGTGCCCTTTTCGCATCTCGACCATTTATAAACCGAATTGCAAACTTTTTTACTTATAAAAGTATTTGAATGAAATTTGATACATAGGCACTTGTAATAAAGGAAAATCAAACGCCAATTTCAAAATTTGGTTTTGCGCATGCGCAGTGCCAACTTTTTTATTTGCGGAAGAATTTAAACGAAATTTGATATATAGGCACTTGGGATAAAGGAAAATCAAACGCCAATTTCAAAATTTGGTTTTGCGCATGCGCAGTGCCAACTATTTTATTTACGGAAGAATTTAAATGAAATTTGATACATAGGCACTTGGAATAAAGGAAAATCAAACGCCAGTTTCAAAATTTGGTTTTGCGCATGCGCAGTGCCAACTTTTTTATTTATGGAAGAATTTAAACGAAATTTGATACATAGGCACTTGGGATAAAGGAAAATCAAACGCCAATTTCAAAATTTGGTTTTGCGCATGCGCAGTGCCAACTATTTTATTTACGGAAGAATTTAAATGAAATTGAGCGCCAGTCTCAAAATTTTCTTTTGCGCATGCGCAGTGCCAACTTTTTTTATCTATGGCACCATTTAAGTGAAATTTGATACTTAGGCGCTTGGAACAAAGGAAAATCTAACATTAGTTTTAAAATTTAGGTTTGCGCATGCGCAGTTCCAACTTTCTTATTTAGAAAAGCATTGAAATGAAATTCTTCTCATAAACTGAAATTGAAGTAACACGTCAAAAATGGATTGCCCATGTGCAACGCTATCTTTCATATTTGTGGCCGAATTTTTACGATTTTAACAGAAGTTGCATCTTATAAATGGGAAATGAATGCAAGTGGAAATGCGCTTTATGTAAATCGTTTACGATTACTTTTTAACTTGTTACATTTCTCAACAAATCATCCACGGGTAACGAGATCTTGATGAATCAACATGGCTATGCGGACAATGCATTCAAATGAATTTCTTTTTTTGTCCTCTTCTCTCACTCAGTAAAAATCTAATGTGGCGTCCATAAGAAATAAGAAAGTAGTGATTCACATTTTCCGAAAAAAGTGTCCATAGAAGATGTTAACGAGAATCGCCCATTTTCAATCGGGTAGGGTAGGGGAAATGAAAGCGAAAGCGCAATGTATGGTATTTCTTTTAACTAACTAAATTAGAGAGAGATTAGATTACTAATACACAAACGGTAAAGAAAACTTGCATTCCACCTGAACAATTGGGAAACTGAAGGTACATGGTCTGGCGACTCCCCATCCACGTCATAGAGTTCTTACAAACAATAATC